ATAACTGGCCCCTGGGTTGGCCTAAAGGTGGTTACCCCGAGGACATACATCTGCCACATGTGTTGTATCACTCGGCTGTCGGTGCGAACAAACAGTTCGGTAGGGATGTGATGGACGCCCACTTCAGAGCCTGTCTGTACGCCGGGGTTAATATTAGCGGTGAAAATGCTGAGGCTATGCCTTCTCAGTGGGAGTACCAGGTTAGTTTTGTTGTAATTAATGTACTATTTAGTTTCCAATTAAATTTACAAGTTAGTTGTAATTTATAATTAGTTAATTAGTAGTACGCTAAATATTGTCATAGTTATGGATATTATAAATTATAATTTATAAATACAAATGACCAAGTTTACTGCTTTTATTACTGAAATTTTATAGTAGGATTTTGTTTAATAAACTGTAACCAAATTTATTAGAATTTAATTGACCCTCAAAATTTATAGTTGCATGCTAATTATTCGGCAATTAAATTACTTATTATTTGTTTACTTAAACTTTTATTAAATAAAGGGATATTAAATACAAAATTAAAATTTCTTAAAGCTATAAGCTATTATTTATTAATTAGTGTTACAGTATAAGACATTTTTTAAATTATAAATTAAATTTACTTTTCAAATACATTATACAGTAGTAGAGTATATATATTTTAAAACTAATAATAATAAATATCTACCGTTCCCCTCATCGATAGGTGGGTCCCTGTGAGGGCATTAGTATTGGCGACGACGTAATGATGTCCCGATACCTACTTCACAGAGTGGCCGAAGACCTGCACATTGGCGTAAGCTTTGACCCGAAACCCGTACCCAACTGGTTGGGCGCCGGCGCTCACATGAACTTCAGTACAGAGAAAATGCGTGCAAAGGGAGGGCTGACGGAGATCGAGAGGGCCATCGAAAAGCTGAGCAAAAGGCATGAGAAACACCTGTCCCTCTATGACCCCCGCGGGGGCGCCGACAATGTTAGGCGACTAACGGCAACGGGGTCTCAGTTTTACGCGTCGGATATGACTGAGTTCTCGTCAGGTGTGGCCAAACGTGGGGCCAGTATTCGCATACCTAAACGGGTGGCACAGGAGGGCAGAGGTTATATGGAGGACAGGCGACCCGCGTCTAACTGCGACCCATATATGGTGGCCGAGGCTCTGGTCCGCACCTGTCTATTGAATGAGTGATTGTTATTTAGTTTTTGTTTTATAATTATGTTTAAAATTAATTGTTTTGTTAGTTATTAATGTTTTTAAAGTATAAAAAAGTTTTTGTATTTTGCAATATTTGTTAATTTTAAATAAATAATTTTACATTGATTAAATTATTGTATAATAGTTTCCGGTAGTAATCATTAATCTGAAATTTATGTTATAAATAAATTTAAATAATATTAAATAGTATTTATCACATAATAAGCGTCAGGTTATCAGTGTTTATGTAATCATTAGTACTGTTAAAGCACTTAATGTTGTTATTAAATGGTAATTGTACTGGCACAATTGTCATAAACTTATAGTGCAACTGTCATATTGGTACTCGAGTTTGTGATAAACGTGATGATATCGGTGCACATAATAAAACTACCAGAGCGGCCCTGATTACTTACAAATTGATTCAAAAAAACTCATTATATTTTTTATTTGTATACAAATTAATAAAGTAATTTTTTATGAGTTAATTAATAATTTTAAAACATTTTAAAACGTTACGTTACTATTAATACATTAATTAATAATGTAGAACTGATTAATTTTAAGCATCTTGGTCATAAGTGCAATAGATAAATACGAGTGCTAGTGTAATATTGTAATCAAAATAATAAATTACTTTTATTTGTCACTAATTACTCGCAACTGATTCATTGATAACACATTTCTGAATGTATATAAACTCAGAGTCTAATCTACTATAAGTCAAAAAAGTTTTTATTACTTAAAAACTTTAATTACAATTATTCACACAATAATTATGAGTTCCCAATCGGCACCGTTAACTTCAACGCCCGCATTCCTGGCCCGGTATCTATCACTCGCTCAACCGGCCGACAAAGTACAGGTGACGTACGTGTTCTCGCACCCGGCTAAAGATGGTCTTGAGCATTTATGCAACAAGAGCAGGGTCATCGACTTTGTGCCTAAACAGGCCTCAGACCTACCCGTATGGGACTGCGGGTTAGTCACCGACA